TAGTTGGTGCAACTTTTTAATAGTTTTTATTTTATCTTTGTAGTGTAATAAATTTAACACGATTCGATTTGTAAATTGGTTACAAATTTGCAATAAATCGTTTTTACTTCGTGGTTATGCATAATATTCTTGAATATTTGTGTCAAAATAAGGTAAATAAAAAGGTCGCTCAGTAGTCTAATAAACAGATTTAATTTTTTTCGAATGAGGATGATAGACATGTCATCATTTTTAAAGAAGAAGTGTAGATGAAATTTGCTAAAGAGTTTTATGCTGATATGCTGAAGAGGTGTTTTAATGCCGATCTTCCGAAAGCATCTTGTTTATTAAATGTAAGAAAAAAGAAGTCGTATGATTATTCAAAATATACAAGCCGTATTACAAATTTTTAAGTCATATGATAGGCCGTCGTTTTTTCTCGCCGTTGGTACAGCCAGAGAGTTGAACAAATGCACTATACAGGGGTGGGACCGCAAAATGTGAACGTTTTTGTTTTATAATAACTATTTTCTCGTTAGATGTAGTTGTACTCTCTCACTCATCAGAAAGTGTCTAAAGAGTTGTTAAATATGAACTATTTTAAATAAGAATGTCCAACCATTGGACATTCTTATTTAAAATAGTTCATATTTAACAGAAAATTAATTATTACAATCAGAAAAGTGTTCACATTTTGCGGTCCTACCCCTGTAGTTTGTGGCTGACACGAGTTCCAGACATTATAAGAGCTTTTGAGATTGATTGAAATTGAATAATGTATTTGTTTACAATTGCTGTTTGGAGAGTACTTATATTTTGCATATGGTCTTGATTATCACACAGAAATCCAAGGTTTTTTTTGTTTATTATTACGATGAAATAAAGAACCGTTAATTCGTTTTTTCTAATTGAGCTTTTACCGGAGATAATGAACTGGGTTTTTCCAGTGTTTAGTTTGGTATGAAGGTTTTTGCATTGTGCTGGAACTTTATTAACAAGTTTTGTGACCCAGAAAGTTTAAGACGATATAATACTATAAAGAAGGACTTTATAGGATTATATTGTCTGCATAAACAACAATGCCGGTGTATATGCTACTTATTGTTGTTCCAACTTTGCAATCGGAAACAATTCTTCTTTCAGTGTAGTTATTGTACAAATGTGAAGATAAAATAAATCATTACCGCACGCTTTGAGACAAACAAAAATGATTTAATTTACGTCCAATTTATCATATAATAGCAGTACCTGAGCGACGTAATGATTGTAGCACGCGAATTCTGATAGCGCTAAATTTTTTTAGTTATAAAGTTTTTCTAATAACAAGTCCTAGTTACAGCTATCAAAGGCCTCATTGACATCCAAACTACAACTACATACTCATGAATTATTATTATTGTAATGATTTATTGTTTCTTTCAAATGAAATTCTGCATGAAGCGTTAAGATATTTTTCTTGAAACCTAATTGATGAGAGTGGCTATTTAATACTTCCATACTTACATAAAAATATATTCAAAGAGTTTTGTCAAAATAGGTATGATACTAATTTCGCAATTATTATCTAGATTATCGAGAGATTTTTTATAAGATTATTGAAAGTTTTTATATGACTATTGAAACAATAATTGAAGATCTGGGTCCTAAGTACTCTGAGACCGCTTCATTATCAAAGATATTGTTATAAAACGTCGAAAGTTATATTTGTACGTTGTTGTTAAAAGTGTATTTAAGATGTAAGCACTAATATAAGAAACACAAGAAACACGCGATTTATTTGAAACAAATTTAAGAATACAAGTTTCGATGTCGGAAATTGATGAGTTATTCATTAGGTTCATTTATGAGTTCTGGAATATGATGGTGTTTGGATTTGTTGTTAATAATTGCGGGAGTGTTGAGAGTCGTATTAAAGTTTTGTCGAAATTCTTCTACAATTTCTTTTCTGTCTTGTTTTTGATCAATTGCAAAAATATGAGTATTTGAAGTTGATTTTGAAACAATACCCAAAGAATTACTTTGGATATTGTTTTTAGTAATTTTATTGATTTTAAAGCTATGAGCTGCTTTTACAGTTTAAGGAAATAACTTTACGTGCAAGTAATTATTAATTAAAATGCATTCCTACAACCCATACTAAGGAAAAGGGCTTGTAGGAAGTTTAAAAGTTATTTTCAAATACCGGAAATTTTTAACTACATAAATTCAGCCTGTTCTACATTTTTTTTTTTTAAGTTTATTAGATAATGATCGTAAAAATAAATGCAACAGCTATTTCATGTTGTTTAGTATTAAATTAATAAAAACTTATAAATTTAAAAACTTTTAACATTCTTTTTAAATTTTCGCAAAAGTTACTAAAGGTTTACTATAAAATTCTAAAGGTTTTACTGAAAGTTTCTAAAGGTTTCACTGAAAGTTTCTAAAGGTTTCACTGAAAAATTCTAAAGGTTTCACTGAAATTTTAAATATAGTTTTGCTTAAGCAAAATCTCGGTAATTTTAAATTTGGCAAAAAACTTTGATTTCAGTCATTCACTATACTAAAGTTATTTAGTTTTTAATGCGTTGTTTAAAATGTTTACACCTAAGTTATGCTATTAAAGCAAAAATGTAACGTTTCATCGCTTAAGTTGCAAAATAAATCTAAATAACAGCCTAGCAGCAAACAGTTGAATTTTTGTCAATTATAAAAATCAAATTTTTTAAATGAATCAGTAACAACATCCTTATAGCTAATATAAAATTTTAAACGAGCTGCAACAGCGGTAGCCATTTAATGAAAATTTTATATGTATGAAAATGTCTGAAAAATTATTTTTGATAAAAAAAATATATATTTATATAAAGATTATCAGCATAAACTATATAGAACTAACGGATGAAATTAAAAAAATTTTCTCACGAAATGTTTGTTTGTGAGTGATTTATTATGCAATATAAATTTTTTATTTATTTGTATTTTATTTAATACTTATCTATATCTATGATTATATATTATTATTTTAGATTTTATTGCAAAAAAGATTTCAAAAAAGTTTTTAACTGGTTTTTAAATGGTTTTTTTAAAAGTTTTTATAATGTTTAGTTCAATAAACATTTCAAAACTAGTATAATTTTTCGGAGTGTCTATTTGCACGTTTTTCAGGTGCGAATAGACTATATTTAATTATAGTCTATTCGCACGTTTAATTAAAAAAGGTAAAGGTCATCGAATTTAAAGGGAATTTAAAAAAATTAGATTTGGGATTATTGGTTTTTAAATTCAAAAGTAAACTAGCGCAGTGGTGTACTAACGCAGTACTTTCGTTGACTGACTTTTTAAAGATATGCACACCGTAGTGTATATAGATATTGACTGCTTATCTAGGGATAGGCGCAATGTAATATAAATACAATGACGATGGTTTTGGCTTGGGCTGGCAATCTTTTAATTAAAAAAAAGAAGTATTTCTTAATGTTTATTTTATCTATTGGCACGTTTTTGTTCGTTTTTTCAATAAAAATTTAATTATGTTTAAGTAATTTTATTTATTTTTATGATAAATGATTTAAAGAATTAAATTGCTTTCAAAATATATGACTTAAGTTAAAAACATTTTTTGTTTGTGAGAGATTTCATATTAAAAATCTAACTTGAAATTTTTTTTAAACGTGCGAATAGACTATAATAAGATATAGTCTATTCACACGTGCGTGTAAATAGACTCACCCATAATTTTTAATTTGTTTTTTTTTTATATCTTAAAATTTGTTCAATGTTTTTTTAACTTTTTGATTTTATTTTTTTTTTTTTAATATTCGAAACCTGACCTCATAATAATAATTATAATGATAATAATAATAAATAAAAAATAGTGCTTTGAAATTTTTAAGTTTTTGCCCCTTTACCTCTGATTTTGATGAAATTTGTGTTAGGGATCATCCATAAATTACGCAACGCTAAATCTATTTTCAAAAAAGAAGTAGGAATTCTTAAGTAATTTTACGTGTAGATTTTCATTTAACTTAAAGAGCAGTTTTAATTTTTTTTTTTAACTCAAAGGAAAACCTTTGGTCTTTTTTGTTTTGTTTATTATTTGTGAAATTTAGCGTTGCGTAATTTATGGACGATTACTTACATGTAATTAATTTACCGTTTTTATATGAAATGGTTTCATATATCATCAAAAATGCTATAAAGTATAAGTTTTTTTACCCGTAACTATTCATGTATTCAAGGTTCAATTAGGAATTTAGGGAAATGAAAGTTTTTGAACAAAAACTCCAATCAATACCGAATTTAGATATAGGTAGAGTTACCTTAATCCGGCTATTTTATAAAAAAACACAAACAAAGGATTTAATGAGTTTAGCGTTGCGCTCTCATAGTAAAAACCCCGACTACGGCCACCTTAGGTATAAGCGATATGAGCGGCTGAAAAGAGTGGCATATAAGTGGCAGCAAATTCTAGCGAAATAAAATTAAAAAAAAAAGTGTTAAATTAGAATAAATATATTAATTGAGTTTGTTTGCTTTTTTCCAAATATTTATACAGCATTGCAAATTTATCCACTCCCATTAAAAGTTGCAAGTGCAGAGAAGCTTTTTGAAGCACAAGCTCATAATATATATATATATATATATATATATATATATATATATATATATATATATATATATATATATATATATATATATATATATATATATATATATATATATATATATATATATATATATAAATATATAACATATAACATATAAATATATATATATATATATATATATATATATATATATATATATATATATATATATATATATATATATATATATATATATATTATATGTAAGTATAAAGTTTTTGTTGCACGAATCAAACAGAGTCAAAAAGCTCCCTTCTTTAATGATCAACTAATTAAGTTAATTATATACTTATTAGTTAATAATTAAATTAATTTGATTTTTTGATTAATATAATCAAAAAATCAAATTAATTAAATCAACAACCGTTTTTTTTGTTTAATATTTTTAAATGTTATTTTTATATTTGTAGTCTTTAAAATGTAATGTTGTCAAAAATGAAGCCGACCTATAAAAAGAACTGTTTTTGTAGTTTGCTTTTTATTGCTTCTCTAACAAATGTAATGATGCAATACTCTTACCCTACTCGTAAGTCATCAAAACATTCTTTCACTGTTTATAAAAATAGAAAAATAGACGGCAATTCAAACATCATTGAAACTCATTCAGATTACAAGGAATGTATTAATTCTTGTTATATCAAAAAAGAGAAATGCAAATCAATAGACGTCAAAATTGAGGATAAGAATACATTAACTTGTCGATTTTTTGAAGATGATTATCCAAAAACAAAGCCAGCAGATGGATTTCTTAATATTTTAACAAAACCGGTAAATGTATAATTCACTTTAAAGTTAGCAACAAAGAAGTTTTTATTAATTGCTTTTTACATACTTTAGCCGAATTGTTCTCTCAGTTGCAGTGTAGCAATGAACCCATGTGGGAAATGTGACTGCAAACCATCTTGTGCTGCTAGAAATCAACGTCAGCAAGCATGTAACTGTGTAAACGGTAAAATGCTCAATTTTAAATGTTTTTAAAGTATTGTTTTGAATTGTTTTGAAAAAGTCAAAATGCGTTTTCCGCTTTAATCCTACTGTTTTATTAGTTTAACAGAAGGAAAGTTGTTTTGTATTGTTGAAACTTTTAGTAACTGTTTTATTTTCGGTTATACCGGGTAAGATTGATCATAACAAAGTTGATACATGTTGATAAAAAAAAATTAACTAATTATATACATACGTATATATATATATATATATATATATATATATATATATATATATATATATATATATATATATATATATATATATATATATATATATATATATATATATATATATATATATATATATATATATATATATATATATATATATATATATAATATATATATATATATATATATATATATATATATATATATATATATATATATATATATATATATATATATATATATATATATATATATATGTAATATATATATATATATATATATATATATATATATATATATAGGGTAGATTAGGGTAATATGAGCACCTTGGTAATATAAGCATACTGGAAGATTTCTTAGATGTAAGCAGTAAAGTCAAAGTTGCTTCGTTTTTTTTTGAAACGACTTTATGTGGTGATAATATCATCTAATTAAAACGCTGTAAAAATTTTTGCGTTCTCGGTGTAGTTAAGGCAATTTACAAAACATTTGATTACCTTTATTTGGAATTAGCATGGTTTTGTTAGCCTTTTATGTCCAAACAAGATCTTTAAATGTTATAAATTTTTTTTTTTTGCCTAAGGTTTTTATAATATTCAAAGAAACCTTTCTTTTTTTATATATAATTTTCCAAACCTTTTTACTACCTGTAATAGTGAATCTAAAGAACACTATTTTAGAGTTTTAAATCAACTCCGCTCATCGGCATTAACACGAATTTAGTTAAAATCTTTTGAAAAAGTTCCATAATTTGCTACTGATCTTGCTCTAATCGGTTCTGACGTATACTAACTATACACTAGCAAAAAGTAACCCGTAATACGGGTTATGGTCGATCTGTTACATAATTAATTTATAGTGGCTGTTTTCCACAATTTAAAGTTGCGAATTCTAAACTAATACTTTTTTAGAAAAATGCCTTTAAATTGAACAAATTTATCTCTCGGTAAAATTAACATAATAAGTATGAGGAGGTAAAACAATTTACCAATTATTATTTAACACATTGGAGTAATTTACAACTGACTTAGGTCATATCAGTGTTTGACAGAACCATTTTTATCAACATTCCTAAGTTCAACACGTAATAATAACACTTCGTCATTCTTTAAAATATCAACGAAATTCTTGTAACATTTTTTATAACATAAACTTTAACTATTTATTATGATTAACATGAAGTTAATTTATATTATATTATACAGGAGTTATTAACTATTGGTATCCCCTCTCAGGTCAAATTTTTCTTTAGAAAAGAAAATTTGTTATCTAAGAAATATTAAATGCACTTATCTAAATAAATTTGTTGAAAATAACTAAGTTTATTATAAATAACTAAGCAATTGAGTACAAATACGTTTCAAAATAATAATAATAATAATTTACAATCAAACATGTGTATAACAAATTTCTTAAAAAAACGTTAATTTTGATCTTTTACATTGCGTCATACGACAAACCTAAAATAAAAATTGTAACAGATAAGTTGGCATAAAAAAGGAATAAAAAAAAGTAGACATAAAAAAGAAAAAAGAAAATGTCTGGAAAACGATATACCTGCTTTGGGTAACCTGTTATCATACTTCAGTTGTTGTCATGATGCAGCAGTTCTTGTCGGTGTTGTTTAATGACGTTATTTAATGTTGGCTTTCAGTAAACTTTAGTTTAATTTAGAAGACATCACAGTATATTTAAAATATTTAAAATATGTTAAAATATTTAAAATATGTTAAAAAGCAAAATAAAATGCTTTAAGGAGCTAAACTATAAACATTTAAGATAAAATATCAAATTGAGATAAGTTAATTGCATTTGTATAGCTAAATATAAATGTTTACAGTAAATTTTAAAAGCAGCGAGTGCAATATATTATTTTTAACAATTGAATGTACCATCATTATACTATGATAATTGGATAATGAATCAATTTAACTGTATTTTGAGTTTAATTTAGTTTTCATTTTAATTAAAAAAGACCAAAACAAATCAATTATACAACAGAATATATTATTAAAAAAAAAAAAAAAAAAAAAAAAAAGTTACAAATTTAAACCAAAAAATTACAATTAAAAAAAAAAATTACAATAGAAAAAAAAAAATTACAAAAATAAAAAAGCAAGACGCTGACCTTCAATTTTGACATATGCATCAATAGCATATTGCTGAAACAGTTTCTTTCCATAAAATAATGAACAGAAAAATTGTCTAACATAATGTCTATGATTGTAGAACTGAGATAATATAACATGATTTCTAACCAGTGTGGCACGCTCAGGGTTATGCACTAACTGATTATGCTAACCAGGATCACCTCTTGGGAAAAAGAGAAGATAAACCATAGGATCCAAGTTGTCTGACATACTTGATATAATTTTTAAAGGCTGACCTCTTGGGTAAATAACAACTTCCCTTGAAGTTAAGGGAGCACCATCTTCGCGAACAAATACAACGACAACTTCATCGTGTGAAGGTAGATTATAGCGACGTCTATCACCCCCTTCAAGTAAAGACATTTTTACAACAGAAGCTTGGCACCTTCTATAGCCGCTTGAAAAATTTCTTTATCTTCTACTTCAGCCATGTTTTTAAATGCAAGAGCAAATGGACTTTTTTCAGTAATTATAGTTTGCATTTGAAACATTAAATCACGTAAACAAAGATCTTTACCACGTTATTGCATTCTAAAATTTACTGCTGCAAGTGGATCATAAATATATAGTTGAGAAAATATTGGTGAAATATCTTGATCTGGCCTAAGATTACCTACACGATGATAAATCTGACCACATATTTTAAAACATGGAGGCCCATGATTTATTGGTTGAACTACGTCTCCTTTAAATGAAGCGAAAGAAAGACAGGCATAATAATTTCGAATATGTTTTAAAAAATTGACATTGGCATTATGATCTACATAACTCCATGTAAAAAAATACTGTAAAGCTTGTGTAAATGGTGAAAGTGGAGGCAAAGCTACCTTACCATTATGGCAACATAGAAAATGTGTTTCATCTGGAAATTTTTTAGCACCACAGTGCAAAAAATTTCCAGATGCAATTTTGATTCATTTCTCCTAAATAATTACAATCTGGAATAGCATTACTTCTTGGTATAGAATACATTCGTCCTTGTCCAACAGATCTTCTTACATTCTGGCGACGATTAACTTCGCCTCGAATCAGCCTATTTCTTTCATTTTGGCGACGATTAACATTATCTCGATTAAGCCTATTTCTTTCATTTTGTAAATGATTAATTTCATCTCGCCCAAGTATATTTCTTTCATTTCGTCTACGATTATTTTCAACACGCCTTATAGCACTTACATAATCTTGTAAACACATAACTTCATCTAGCCTATTATCCATTTCAATATCATCATTTTCATTAAACATATTTATCAAAGCAACACTAATTATTTCGTTTTTTTTACTACTCTAACGTTAACAATAAAATTAAAAAACTTAATAAATAACTAAAAAAATCTTACTCAAAAAATTAAAAAAAAAACATCTTTAAAACAAGTATACATAAAAAAACCAAATAAATGCAAAATAAAATTTATTTGCCATTATCAAAAGTAATACCGGTTTCTTAATTTAATTTAATAAAAGTTAAGAAAAACCGCAACCATATTAGCAAAGACTTATAAAAAAAAGTTGAAATTTATTTTGTTCTAATGAAAAAAATTTAGAAACAAACAAATATTCTTTTTTATTAGAAAAAGTAAAGTGTTTCTAATATATATATATATATATATATATATATATATATATATATATATATATATATATATATATATATATATATATATATATATATATATATATATATACATATATATATATATATATATATATATATATATATATATATATATATATATATATATATATATATATATATATATATATATATATATATATATATATATATATATATATATATATATATATATATATATATATATATATATATATATATATATATATATATATATATATACATATATATATATATATATATATATATATATATATATATATATATATATATATATATATATATATATATATATATATATATATATATATATATATGTATGTATATATATATATATCTTCTAAAAAATAAAAGCATGCTATAAAAATTAGAAAAGTGAAAAACAACCAACAACAAACAAACGATTACTTAAATTTTTATTTTACTTTTTAAACAATGGCAACATCAATTCTCCTTGAAACTAAAAATATATCAGCTCTAACTTGCTTGAAGACCTTGCTCGAAAGACCGCGTGAAATATAAAACCGCGTAAAGAAAGTCTAGAAACTACCTTAAAAACGAAAAATAAAACGTCACTAATATTCACTGCAGTATTAATATTTAGATAGTTAAAACACAATGTTTCTATCAATTTTTACAAAAAATAGTAGAATTCCGACCAAGAAAAAGCTTTTAATTATGAAAAATTACCAATAAACGATCAGAACAAATCATATTGTTAAACTATATTGTTCATTTCACCTAAAAAACGTATTAATATAAAATCTTGTTCAAATTTGGACGAGCAATTGTGATTTTAGCATGATTATTTAAAAAAACAAATGCATCTTCAGTCTGGGTTTTTTCGTTGTAAACATTGATATTTTATGATACCGTAAAATTTATTATTTTGATATTTTTCGTCTTTTCATAATTCGCATACCAGACCATTTAACGAAAATATGTCGTAGTCAACAAAATATCATACAGACGCTATAATATATTAAAAGTCCCTTAACTACACCGA